CTGCAATTTCGCGCCGACCCCGGCGCTTGGCTCCGGCGGCTTCCCGCGCCGGCTGCGCCCTCTAGGGACCCGCGGCGGGGACTGCAAGCGGCGGCGTCTCGGCACGCGCTCCCCCGGCTGGTCCGCGGGCAGGGAGGAGCCGCTTCTTCGAGTCCTGCTGCCGGGCGGTGCCCAGGTGGGGTGGGCCCAGGTGCGGCGGGACAGGTGGGGGCGGGCCCTGTGGGGACCTGGCCCTGGGGCAAGTGGGCACGCGCCCCGGGAGCCGCCCTGCGCCCACCCGCGGTCTCCGAGCCGGGCTGGCTACGAGCCAGGTTGCTCTAATTGCAAACAGGCGCGATCGGGTTTTTAATTCGTGGCAACAAGAGGCTCCCTGTGTGCAAACCCACCGCGTGCTCGGACGAGTGGACACGGCTTTGGGGAGACATCCAAGGTCACGTTTGGCCGGAGGACCCCACCACCGGCCCCTGCCAGCCCCGGGAATGCGCCTGCGGGGAATGGGCTCCCGTCTGGGCCCGGGGAGTCTGCGGGCGTGGGGGGTGGGCTCGGACTCACGGCAGCATGTGGTAAGCATTAGCCGAGTTTATGGGGTGAACTAAGCGCTCTGCAGCTGAGAGGCCAGCATTTTCCTGGGAGGAGGGCTGGAAGGTGACAGAGTCTGACACTGCTGGGAGTTGGCTGGGAGCAGCCCGGGGGTGTTGATAGGGATTGAGTGAGATCACGGATGTCAGAAGGCCAGGGGTTGCGGAGTGCGCCCCGCAGGGTGCTGGCTCTGAGCAAGCCCTTGACGCTGACTTGCTGGCACGATCTGGTTCATCCTCCCAGGCGGGAGGGTGGGGACAGGTCGCTGCGGCGAGGAGGTCTGGGAGTGGGAGCTAGCTCCTGTTTGCGGAGAGCCTGTGGCATAAGGTAACTGTTTCAGGCTCTCTCCACACGCCCTTATCTGTTGTCTTAACCCTGAAGGAAATGTGGGGAAACTGAGGCCTGAACAGCGGCCAAACGGAGATGGGTTAGAAGCTACATCTGGCCGACCGCCCCCACCTCAGCCCGTCCAGCTCTGTGCTAGCAGGAGCAAAAGGGCTAAATGCAGCTCAAAGGTGCCCTGCTCTGAGAATGTGAGGGCTCCTAAGTGGGCACTGTGTCCAGAGCCCTAGTAGCCTTGGGACACATGGATGAGACTAGGAGTGGGGAGCGGCTTTTACTTTCCTGTTGTCAGCTCTGTGTGCTTCTTCCAACTTGTAAGAATACATGAAAGTCTAGGGGAGAAAAATAGCAATACTTACTGTGCGTTGAGCACTTACTGTGGGGCAGCTCTGTGCAGTACACCATGTCACTATGCTGATGGGTGAGAGGAGCTGTTACAAGCACCGATGAGGAAGCTGAGGGTTGCATAGGTGTCGTGCTTTGCCCAAGGTCAGGATCTGAACTCCTGCCCTCTCCATTCTAAGCGCCTCTCATTGCTCAGAAATGGGAGTGGGAGTTGGAAGGATTACAGTAGAGTTTGCAAATTGGGGCTTGGAAGGCTTAGCCCTTCTCTTTCAAGCTGTGACATTTGGATAAGTGGCTGGCTCTACACTCCTGGGAAAAGCTGGGAATATTTCCCATCTCACAAGACTGTCTCACAAAAGTGTGTTAATTCACTAATGTTAACACTAGCATTAGTGCTAGTCTTTTTCCCCAGTGCTTGTGGCAAACCACCCCCACTCCACCCACCAGTTATGTTTGGTGCACACTTAACTATTCCTTTCAGACAGCAACATATGGCCCTTACGGTACAGGGATGAATATGACTCAGGCAGCTGTTTGACTTAGAACACTCCAAAAATGTCCAGGGCTTCTCTTGCTGTGATTTATTTTGCTGTTAGAAAACTTCCTGGAAACTTTCTTGGAAACTGAAAAGCCAAGTCAGTATATGGTAGGTTATAAGAGATTGATGACATCACTGCTACTAGAGATGGTCTGGAGATACCTCTGGGAAACTTTTTATTCCAGTATCATCCTGGGGAAATAAGGCTCTATTACCGTCTTCATTCTGCAGTAGAAGAAACGAAGCCAGGAAAGTTTAATGTATGCAAGCCAAATGTGTTGAAGCCTGAATAAGGATTTATCTAGCTGTCCAATCCCTGGTCTAAGACCACCACCCCCCTTGCCTGCTCCCACTGGCTATGCTGCCTTTTACAGGACCTGTTTGAGAAGTGTGTTTAGGCAATGCTGTGCTTTCTCAAAAAATAAACAAATAAATAATAATAATAGAGAAACCCTTTTGTAATGCTGAGGGAGGGGAGCTAGCCAGGGCAAGGCTAGAATATTTCTGCCCAAAAGACCAATTACTCTTTTGCCTCAGTTTTACACAGCCCAAATAGGCCTCAAGAAGTGAACATTTTATACTTATACACGCAACTTCAAAAATCTTTAGCTATATATTCTAAAAAGCCATGAAGTGGAGGGATGTTATTCCATGAAAGCAGACTTATTTTTCTTTTTAAAATGTGTGCTTGTGGGGCTGGGGATTTAGCTCAGCGGCAAAAGCGCCTGCCTGGCAAGCGCAAGGTCGTGAGTTCGGTTCCCGGTACCGGAGAAAAACCAAAAAAATAAATAAATAAAATAAAATAAAATAAAATGTGTGCTTGTTTTCTAATTTCCAAAATAAGACGTTAAGGTTTCTGCTGCTGAATTAAAGAGAGGAAAATTTCCAAACAAGTGGAATTAGAATGATAGCTGAGCCCACCAATGTTTTCTTCTTATTAAAATTTAAAGCCTGACTATCCCAGACATGGCCCATGGTCATCAGCCTCACCTGGGAGCTAGTCCAAAATGCACATTTTTAGGCTGGCCCTGAACCCACAGAATCAAATTTGCATTTAAACACACCTCACAGTGATCCTTATGTTACATTAAAATTTGAGAGTTAGTATTAGTCCCTTCATATCTGTTAGAAATTTAACAAGCCCAATGAAGATACCTATCTTTTGTGTTCTCGTATCTTCTTTTCTGCTTTATTCCTCCTTTACATCATGAGATAGACAGAAACTTTTACCAATGATAGACTTATAGTGTTTTGTTTTAAGAGGAAGCTATGTAACTTCCTAAAAATTAATAGAACAACTGTATACAAATTAAAAACCAAAAATAGCCAAGCATGGTGGTGCATGCCTGTAATCCCAGCATTCAGGAGGCTGAGTCAGGGGGATTGCCATGAGTGTGAGGCCAGCCTGGATTACACAGTAAGTTCAAGGCCTGCCTAAGCCACATGGTGAGACCCTGTCTCAAAAAAAAGAATATTTACGGTAGTGTGGGGAAAAAACTGGAAAAAATATATAAATAGCTTTTTTTCAATAAGACAAAGAGATGAACAAAAAAATAGACAAGTCTCAGAGAAATACAAAGAAAAGATAAACATTTGAGAAAAGGCCCAAACAAACTGTTCCAAAGAATGAAAAATTAAAGCAATGGAAGTTTTTTTTAAAAATAGCAAAGGACTGAAATGGTAGGACTTGGGAAGGACTTGTGGAAATGGGCATTCATATATTCTTGGTGGAAGTATAAACTAAATAGCCCTTCTGGGTAGAAACCCACAATCCATAGCTAAACTTTAAATGTGAATTACTTTAGATTCAGTCAATCTACCTCACTAATGTGTAAAGGTATACTTGTAAGGATTTCTGCTGCAGCATTGCCAATCATTACAAAAGTATAATATGATACCTCCACACAATAAATTTCCATGACTGTTGAAAGAAAAGTATAGAGTTAAAAATCTTATTGCAGAAATGTCTTTGATAGGCAGTAAAATATTTTCTTTATATATATATATAAATATATATAAAATCCCATTTATGTTTGTTTTTTCTGAAAGAGTAATAGGGTTTCCTTCAGGGAACATGAAATTAGATGCTTTTTTATATGTTTTAAATTTTCAAATGTGAATGTATATTTTATAAAACTAAAAAAAGTGTGTTTTCAAAAAGTATATGGTGATGAGCCTAATAAGTTATTTCATATCTATGGCTCATTAAGAAATGTCCCTCATGGGTTCTCACTGGTTCTTTTGAGAAAAATAATCCCCAGTGCTATTAGAAGGCAGGTTACAACATGCGCGTGTCCCAGGAGCAAGCTGTGCTCCCCTACCTGCAAACCAATGCCCCAGCCACACCAGGGCTCCCTTGCACCTGCTTCCTGTGCTCTCTCCTGATGAGAACACTCCCCTCAGGATGCCTCAGTGCTTCGCTCTCAGATCCCTGCCAATTGCTAATCCCAGCCTTAGCCTCACCTTTGTTCTGTTGCCTGGCAACCCATTAATGAGTGGGGAGCAGCTCCAGGTGCTGCATTTGAGCCCTAATGGGATGTGGGCTTTGGTTACCTTAGAGCCCACAGAGTTTCCAGAAAACATTTTTAGGAGCTCAAATCTCATGA